TGAGTTGCTCAAAGCATGGTTAGCTTTAACCATTGGTTAAGCAGTATCAAAACCAATACGTTGTCAAGGTATTAAACGCTGGTTAACGCTAACCATGCTTTGGGCAACTGATGAATGTCTGTAAACCAGGCCCGGAGCCCTAGAACACCACCCCCCTCGGGAACACCCCGGATTGAAATCCATGCTTTCAACTGGAAAATAGGCCTACTAATTTTTTTGGTTTTTGAACAAACTTTAAATTGCATGGAGTTTAAATGAAATTGCCAAAATTTTGGCCTGATACCGAAAAGCATATTCTGATTACAATAGATTTCAAGAAGCAACCGTTTTTATCGAGATAAAAAAAATGTGGCAGAAGACTCGAAATTAAAAGCCTCCTCGGATCAGCTTTCGCATCAACCGTGAAAATCGTGTTCTTTTCAGACCAGCTCGTTTTCTTTGCGCTCAGTTTGCCTTTCAGCCGCCTCTTGCACCAACTTTTCAACTTGTTCATGTCAGTACCGGCACTGCGCGTTGTGCGCGCTCGTGTTTTTAAGTGAATCCGATTTAACTGTTAACTAGAAAGGAACCCACTCAATACACGGACCGCCTTCATATCATGAAATCGTGGAGGGTAAACATGAGGCTTTCAGGAAAAGAAGTTCAGAGTGAGAACAGGAGAAGACTGGAATTACAAGCGGAGTACAATTTGAACACACTGCTGAAGCCGGCGCCAACACATGTAAAACACTTTTTGGTTCATTTCTTTGCCGTCACTACGCGACTACAATTTCACAGAAACTGCCTAATTTTAGGCCTTTCGCGAACGATGGCGAATTTTTCTTTCTCTTTCTGAAGCTGGATATGGTTCTTGAGAATTAAACTACAGAAGAGGTCAGTTCGAATACATCTGACAAAGTGAGCGTGTCAGAGTTGTGGCGATGAAGTTTGAAAGAACGCGAATTCAGTTTTAAATTGACGTTTTTGGCGCCCGCACACAACAGTCGTGGTATCTTAGGTCACGTTCACACGAATCCGGATAATAGATACCTTTAGATGACGAGTACGACTACGAGTACGAGATTTTCTCAATACTACGTAGTACGCGCGCGTCCCGTCGTTACTCTACTAGGAGTTTTGGCGAGAATGTCGAAGTGGCGGAAACAAGATATCAACTGATCAAATGTTTAAAGAAGTTTTATCATGATTTTGCGATCGGGAGAGGGTGTAACCTCCTTCACTAAAGGTAACAGTGCTAACTTTTTTAGTGAAAAATGGTAAAATGAAGCTTTCCTGGAAGTCCATATTTTGAGAAGACGCGAAAGAACTTTAAGTCAAATCTCGTCTCGTAGTCGTCCTCGTCCTTGAATCTTAATAAGGTCTCTATTTTTGAAACCGCAAATATGTTAACACGAATCGGCCTTCCGTCCACACGAAACCAGTGCGGAATCCCAGTCTGCTCCCCTGAGTGGTTCATGGCTCTGTCCACACGAATGCGCCATATTCTAAAAATGTCCAGACGCGTGTGGATAAGGTGATGTTGCACGGGACGAATTCGCAACGACGATGTTTAGCGGAAGCAGCATTGTTGCGATATTGTTTCGAATAGTTGCAACATTGTTCCAACATTGCTACGCTGTGTAGCGCTCAAAATAGTCGTTGCGAATCGTCCCGTGTAACATCACCTTTAAAGTATCTAATGTGGTCGTAAGGACGTAGTTGTAATTTTGAAAACCTTATAGTGTTCGTAAGGGAAGGTTACACGGTATATAAAGTCCTCAATACACAAAACGTAACAAGATTAACCTGGTTTAATGTGCTCGATGGAAGACAATTTTGTTCACTAGTATATGGCGCGCGCTCCACAGACAAAGTACAACGCTTTGTATCTTAAGGGTAATTTATTTATTTAATCAATCAAAACAAAACGAACAGGTGATGATGTTATAGGATAAAAATCAGTCAAAATAGAAGAAAAATACAATATCTAAACTATATGCATTGTTCACAGGCCGAGGTTTAGGTTTAAGCACAAATTAGGAAAAAAATGAATAAGCTATAGAGTGATTACTGAAATTTACTTTCAGCTAAGTGCGGCAGTACAGCGAGAAAGTAAGAAAGACCCAGTCTCCATTAGAAGGTATAAGGGTACTAAGCTCGGGACAATAAAACAAAAATGAACCCACAATATAAAGAATATTTACAATTATAAATTAGTAAGTAGTTTCAATATTTACAATTCTAATACTTAAAAAAGGAACAAATATTTACAATGTTCAATAATTGTTATTGGCAACATTGTCTGATACTAGTTTAACTTAGAGCTGAAGAATCTCCTTAATCTTTATACTTAGTCTAGACCATAAGAAAAGTCCTACACATCTGCTGACGCGTTTGCCATAGCGTGCAATACGTAATACTTAAACGACGTACAAAAAAATTGCCTTATATTATTGCAGATTCAATTTGTTATCTAAAACCAATTTTAAAAACTCTTTAATGTGCATATGTGTCGGTCAAACCTCTTCGACCCCATCCTTTTAACTTTTTATAATTATCAGTGAACTGTTCTTCCTCTGTTGATCCATCCAGTGCTGTTGTTGAACTTGATCCTCCACTTATCGCCATATTTACTTGGTCAAAATATCCCGTTCCTACCTCCCTCTGGTGTTTGTGTGCAGTAAAGCCATACTGCGCTTGCGCGAACTCATCTTCTTGTATTTTGGTGTAGGCGGACATGCCGTGCTCCTTGTAGTCGCGTGCAAGCTTGAACATGGCGTGATTCAGGGAGTGGAAACCAGCCAAGGTGATAAACTGATATTTGTAGCCCATTTTACCAAGTTCTTTTTGAAACACAGCTATCTCTTTGTCACTGAGATTGGCTTTCCAGTTGAAAGAGGGTGAGCAGTTGTAAGCCAGTGGTTTACCTGGAAACATAGAATGGATTCCGTCAGCAAACATGTGTGCTTCTTCCAAATTAGGTTTGCCTGTCTCGCACCAGATTACGTTGCAATACGGGGCGTAACTGCGTCCACGTGCAATGGCTTGTTCCAAGCCAGCGGTTGAACGATAGAATCCCTCTGCTGTTCTTTCACCGGTCAGGAAAGGCTGGTCACGTGAGTCAATATCTGACGTCACTAAAGAAGCTGACTCAGCATCTGTTCGTCCAATTATAACAGTGGGAACATCCATGACGTCAGCAGCCAGACGAGCAGCATTGAGGACTTTAATAAACTGCTGTGTTGGTAGAAGAACTTTTCCTCCCATGTGACCACATTTCTTTTCTGATGCGAGTTGGTCTTCAAAGTGGACTCCAGCGGCACCAGCTGAAATCTGATGGAGAGAATTTAAAGGTTATACCGTGATAAGAAAAAAGGATATCAGAAATAGCCGAGGTCACCCTTGTCTTGAAAACACAGGAACTCAGTCAAAGGGATAAGGTATAAATTTTTCTATTAATACACCGTACTCTATAGAATTTTTTTGTGTTATAGTTTCCATAGAAACTGGAATAACGTTGCTATGGTTTTGTAAATGATTAAGTTGAAACCTTAATTGTGACGGCCAAATACAAAACGTTATATGTCTCAGTTCGTAAACAAGGAGAGCTTGTGTGCTTCTTGTTTAAGACGTGGAAGAGAAACTTCGAGCGGAGAATCGAGGGAGGAATGCCAATCTGTATAGTCTATACGTACTTTTTTGGACAAACGAATAGTACGTGGGAATTGATTCAATAGGGCTTGGAAATTGACTAAATAACGCGAAGAAAAATACAAACGTACCATAGCTTTGGTGATTTCAAAGGCGTTAAGCGGGCCACCAAATCCAGCCTCACAGTCAGCAACAATTGGCAAAAAAAAATCAACATGTTTATCGGATCCTTCCATGTGTGCGATCTGATCTGCTCTGATAAAGGCGTTGTTGATTCGCTCAACGAGCTTTGCAGCTGAGTTAGCAGGATACAAACTCTGATCAGGGTATGTCTGTCCCGCCATGTTACTATCAGCTGCCACCTGCCAGCCACTCAGATAAATGGACTGTAAACCTGCTTTGGCCATCTGAACTGCCTGACCACCTGCGGACAGAAAATGGAAAGTTCAACTAGCCTAGAGATTCTCGGGAAACAAAATTAACTGTTTCCCGAGGGACCAGTCTTTGAAAATAAGTGATTTGGAAATTTTGAAGCTGGAATGTCATTAAAACTCGTTGTAATGGCGGTTGTCGGTCAACATTAGGGAGTTTAAGCAGCGACGTTTAGAGCCTTTTTTCTTTTAATATGCCTTGGCGCTACTAAATCTGTTTTGTTAAGTGTCCTTACTCTTATAGAGACGCTTTTGGCCAAACAACTGTTCAAAATCACGGCTCAAGAGTGCAAAAAGTCCACTTCCGGCTGACGTGCGTCGCTCAAAAACGTGACTACTTAAACTCCCTATTCCTGGGTAAAGGTGCACTGTTACCCTCTGAAGTCATATATTTTGCGATGTTCGCCGCTCAGGAGATTTTGGCGGGAAACAGTTTCATATCATGTGACCTCGAAGCAACCCATGAGAGCGTCCGTCGTTGGGAAAAAAATTCCAGCTATATAACAAAGTGTAGTATTAACCTGTCATAGCACCCAGGGTGCTGACATAACAGTTTTCATCTGACTCTTCTTGGTTTAGCATATCAAAAAACTGGACTTGTTATCGTTCGTGCTTGTTTATACTTTAACAGTTAAGGAGGCATTCTGGTTGTTTTGGGGGAAATGATTTTGATTTGGGAAGGAAATAATTTAGGGTAGAAAAGTTAATAAAACAGTTTGTCCGTTAATGGGATCACAGGGGCGGATCTAGGTGGAGGATGCAGGGGGAGCGCACCCCCCCCCCCCTCCCCTGAGATGACCTGCAGTTTTCTAATACAACTGGTATTCTGCAAAAAAAAACTATGTGGTTTATTGGTGTTGAAGTAGAGCAAGAGACGAGTGCACCCCCTCCTAAAAAAAATCCTGGATCCGCCCCTGGATCAGAGGCACCTTTTTGTGGTGGTGGACTATCTGGTATTTGTCTACGACCTCCAAATTCTATATTCTCCAATTTTTCCAAATTTTAAACATCCCTTCCCCTAATTTTTGTACACTAAAACATTCCAAAAATCATCCAAAAATTCTTAAAAAATTACTGAACCAAGGACTCCATCTTAATGAGTAAATGTTTGATTAAATGAAATCTTGGCCAGAAATTTAAGAAAAGGGCGGAAATCAACGAAAAACAATGCTTTCAACCAAGTTAAGTTACCTTAAGTTCATTTTAAAATATGAAAATGTTATTTTAAAATATTAAAAGCTGCAATCTTTTTAAAATTTTTTTTTCTTTACGACGTTGACTTGACAAACCTGTCATGGCACCCAGTGCGTTAACGTAAGATTCCCCTTCTCCGCTGCATATCAGCTGCTTAAGTCTTTTTGCACCGCGTCTAGCCAAAGTATGCTCGATCTTCAGAGAGCCACGAAGTTTTTCCACAGCTTCAGGGCCATAATCTCTCCGAATCGCCGTGAATCCGTAATTTCGCGTGGAGATTCTCAATAATGTTTTTATATTACTTAGACTGCTCATTTTGTATCGAGGATTCTGGGAGCTGAAGACTGGTAGCTTGGTCTATAAGCTCTATTTCTGATGATGAATGAGCCACGCAATTTATACACTTAGGCCCGCAAGCCCCGTTATTTTGGGCGTGAGAGTGACACGTCTCTAACTTGGAATTAACTGCGTCATCATGTATCACGTATAAACTAACCTTTTCCTCAGGGTTTATTAATTTGAACTTCCCAAGAGATTCCGCGGCTGGTATATGCCCAATTTTAAAACCACATGCTTCTTGCCTGAAGCAGTTGTAGTCAAAAAGCACTGAACAAAAAGATAGCGACGCGACGTCTTAAGGGGCTATTGTCTGGTTCTTTTTGTTAACAATGCCGATTACGTAACCATATTCACTACGGAACTCTAAAAATTACTTGTGAATGACAAAATCACAGCTTCCTGTTAAACAGATATGTCTCCCAACCATTCTATCAAACCTTACAAACAACAAAAAATGAACTTTAAAAAAAGTGTTAGGTTAAAAATTTTTCAAAAACCATAATTTCACTCCGTTTTAATCTTCTACAAATTTGACCATCCGTACTTTCTTTAGTGTTTGCTCTGTTACTTATACGTTCTTTTTCATATTTTGAGCGCTTCTTTTTTTTTATTCACTTAGATTGGTGGCTGTTGCCGCTGCTGAATTTTGTTAAATTTCGTGACGCACCTCCTTTACGATCACTTAATTGACAGGTCACAGAATGGTAAAATAACATCCAAATAGTTCACGGTATATTGACATTTAGAAGCCTTAGCTGCTTTGTGCCACTGCATTTAAACACAAAATACGTGTCGTTAATTTCAGTTTAAATTGAAAAGGATAAATATTTAGGTCAATAAATAATTAAACAGAAGGAGTAGGGTGTCTGTAAAACACCGATCCCAAAAACCTAGCCAATTACCTTAGCTTACGATGACCTGTATGCATTTCCGATCCAAACAATTTNATTCCGCGGCTGGTATATGCCCAATTTTAAAACCACATGCTTCTTGCCTGAAGCAGTTGTAGTCAAAAAGCACTGAACAAAAAGATAGCGACGCGACGTCTTAAGGGGCTATTGTCTGGTTCTTTTTGTTAACAATGCCGATTACGTAACCATATTCACTACGGAACTCTAAAAATTACTTGTGAATGACAAAATCACAGCTTCCTGTTAAACAGATATGTCTCCCAACCATTCTATCAAACCTTACAAACAACAAAAAATGAACTTTAAAAAAAGTGTTAGGTTAAAAATTTTTCAAAAACCATAATTTCACTCCGTTTTAATCTTCTACAAATTTGACCATCCGTACTTTCTTTAGTGTTTGCTCTGTTACTTATACGTTCTTTTTCATATTTTGAGCGCTTCTTTTTTTTTATTCACTTAGATTGGTGGCTGTTGCCGCTGCTGAATTTTGTTAAATTTCGTGACGCACCTCCTTTACGATCACTTAATTGACAGGTCACAGAATGGTAAAATAACATCCAAATAGTTCACGGTATATTGACATTTAGAAGCCTTAGCTGCTTTGTGCCACTGCATTTAAACACAAAATACGTGTCGTTAATTTCAGTTTAAATTGAAAAGGATAAATATTTAGGTCAATAAATAATTAAACAGAAGGAGTAGGGTGTCTGTAAAACACCGATCCCAAAAACCTAGCCAATTACCTTAGCTTACGATGACCTGTATGCATTTCCGATCCAAACAATTTTACTAATAGTAGCCAAAAATCCAAAGTTATAATGTTGTTTAATCGAGCACAAAAGGCGTTAAAATGATACCAAAAATAAATACCCCCGACTCTAAAAATACCTAAAACTGCCCACAGTTTTCTCGTCCTCTCCATTACAAGACAGTCCTTTATATGCGTGTCTGTATACAAAACACTGAACTCAGCCCATGGCTTCGAAAATTTAACCTGAAGCTCAGACCAGGACTGTATCTTCTTCACCAAAGTTGAATTACTTTTGAATTAAATCAAACAAAAAACATATTTTTACTTGTACAATGTCAATGAATTATCATAGGTCGCCTTTTTATCTTTAGCTCGAGTTATACAAGTGCACTTTGATCTGCCAAATGCAAGGGAAATCGGATTCCGGAATCGGGGAAATTTTTACTTATGGAATCCGGAATCGGTGAAACTTTTGCTCGTGGAATCCAGAATCCAAGTCCCACCCTTAACAGGGGCACCCAACCACAATTTTCGGAAGAATATCTGTTCGGAAGACGATTTGAGATCTAGAATTTTCGAAACATTTGTTGTAAAATTTCTTGATTGCCTGCCTCTCCTAGGATTTTCGAACATCCAAAAAATGGTATATTTGCCTATTTTTAACGGATTTTTACCCTAAGAATAGAATTTTCGGAAGCCTTTTTTCTGGCTGAAATTTTCGAAAAGGTAAGTTTTGATCCCTATAATTTTCGGATCACTAGACTTCAGCTAGGAAATCCGAACAGATGAAAAATTTTTAGGGGATAAAAATGTGCCTATATCTACCGTTTAAATACTAAAATACGTTTAACAATGCTATGTTTAAGTGGTTTTGAACTATATTCTCGTTGGGTGCCCCTGTCTTAACTTTGTTATCGATATAACCTACAGTTATCTTACACACTAAGAGCTGAATATGAATCATAAAATAAAAATACATTTTCAGTCAGATCGGATCAACGGAAAACATTCGAATGTCTCCGGAAATCATCATGTTATATTTTTATCAGTACTGCAATACCTGTCCAGATTAAGCTATTGATGCATAACCATGCGAGCATAGCTTACTGCATCTCTACAGACTGTGCTAATATTATTATAATAATAATAATAATAATAATAATAATAATAATAATAATAATAATAATAATTTTAATTTCAATTTGTGATAAAACCAAGTCCGAGTTACGTGCAGAAATGCAAGAACAAAAAGAGTGCAAAATTGAATGCCAAGTAAAGGCGCTTCACGGATCAACAGGCAAATTTGAATGCCAAGGACACGAAGCTCTAGAATTTCGAGAAAAAAAAATAAAAATAACTAAGAAGTGCATTTGACAACAAAGTCATAGTAAGCTTGTAATTGCTCTTTATCCTGAATAAGATATAAGGAATTTTTATTTCCTGGTGAACGTAAGCTCGGGTAGGCGAAGCCTGTCTAAGTACTGTACAAGCCCCAAGGCAGAAATGAACTATACATTAAAAATGAACCTTATATTGAATTTAACTCAATCAAGATCTTATAGAGAATGAAAGACACTGAAGTAGCGTGCTTAGTTTGTTGGTCTATGACGTTGTCGTTGAGCATCGTGAGGACACAATTATGAACACCCGTTTGGTCTAACAAAAGCCTCTTTTTTGAAAATTGGAAGTTTGATAATCGATGGTAACCTCAAAAAGCTTTGTCTGTGAACAAAACAATGGTAGAGGACATAATGGGAAAATT